CCAAATGCAGCAGAATATACAGTCTTCATATGTTGGGGACACAGAACAAGTCTCAATAAATTAAAGACTCAACTCAAATCAAGCACCTTTTCTAACCACAATGCTATATAACTAGAAATCAACTATAAGAAAAAACTAGAAAACTCACAAATGTGTGCAGTCTTAATATGCTACTGAACAACTGCTGGGTCAACAAATTAAAAAAAAATCTATCTTCCTACACTTGAAGACAAATGAAAACAAAAATACAACATGCCAAATCTATGGGATGCAGCAAAAGCAGTACCAAGAGGGAAGTTCATAGCAACACAGTCCTACCTCAAGAAATAAGAAAAATCGCAAATAAATAACCTCATACATAAAACTAGAAAAAAGACATAAAGTCCAAAGTCAGTGGAGTGTGGAAAAGAATAAAGATCAAAGCAGAAATAAATGAAAGAGAGATTAAAAAACAATAGAAAAGATCAATATAACTAAGAGCTGTTCTTTCCCCAAAAGAAACAAAACTGACAAACCTTTAGCTAGACTAAGAAAAACAGAAGGCTCTGATAAATAAAATCAGAAACAAAAAGGAGAAACTGCAGTAGAAATCACAGAAATACAAAGGATTATAAAAGAATACTAAGAAAAACTATGTGTCAACAAGTTGGACAACCTAGAAGAAATGGATAAATTCTTAGAATCATACAACCTTCTGAAATACAAAATCTGAATAGATTGGTCACTAGCAGAGAGAATGAAAAATCTCCCCCCAAAAACAAAAGTCTAGGACCAGATGGCTTCACAGGTGAATTCTACCAAACATTCACAGAAAAGCTAATACCTATCCTTCTCAAATCCTCCCAAAATACTGGAGGGGAGGGAATGCTTCCAAACTGATTTTTACAAGACCAACACTACCCTGAAACCAAAAACAGACAAAGACAACATACAAAAAGGAAAATTGTAGGCATTATTACTGATGAACATAGATGCAAAAAGTCCTCAACAAACATCAGCAAAGTGAATACAGTAATTAAGAGCATACACCACAATCAAGTAGGATTTATTCTGAGATGTGGGATGGTTCCACAACTGCAAATCAATACGACACACCATAGTAACCAAATGAAAGATAAAAATCACGTGATCATCTCAATATACGCAGAAGTATTTGGGAAGATTCAATACGCAATTAGGTTAAAAAAAAAAGCTCTCAATAAAATGGGTACAGAAGGAAGAAAACTCACCATAATACGGGTCATATATGACAAACCCATGGCTGACATCATAGTCAACAGTGAAACACTGAAAGCTACCCCTGTAAGACCAGGAATAAGACAAGGACGCCTACTCTAGCCGCTCTTATTCATACAGTATTGGGAGTCTGAGCTAAGCAATCAGGCAAGAAAAAAAGAAAAGGCATCCAAATTGGAAAAGAAGTAAAACTGCCACTACTTGCAGATGACATGATGTATACCTAGAAAATACTAAAGACTCCAACAAAAAACTATTAAAAATGTTAAACAAATACAGTAAAACTGTAGGACATAAAATCAATATACAAAAACCTGTTGTGGTTCTATACACTGACAACAAACTAACAGAAAGAGAAACTAAGAAAATAATCCCAATTACAAGCACAACAAAAATCATAAAATACCTAGAAATGTATTTAACCAAGGAGGCGAAAGATCTGTACACTGAAAACTCTTAAGACATTGTTGAATGAAACTTGAGATACAATGAAATGGAAAGATATCCTGTGTTCATGAGTTAGAATGAACACTGTTAAAATGTCTCTATTACCTAAAGCAAGCCACAGATTCAAAATTCCCATCAAAATCATAAGGACATTTTTGACAAAAGTGGAACAAAAACCTCCTAAAACTTATATGGAACCACAAAGACTCCAAATCACCAAAGCAATCGTGAAATAAAATAAAGATAAAAAGCTGGAGGTATCACATTCCTTGATTTCAAATTACACTGCAAAGTTACGATAATCAAAACAGCATGGTATTCCCAGAAAAAAGATATAAAGACCAATAAAACAGAATTCAGAGCCCAGAAATAAACCCAAACATATATGAACAATTAATGTATGACAAAGGAGCAAAATACATACAATGGAGACAGTCCCTTCAATAAAAGGCACTGGGAAAAGCTGGATAGCCACATACAAAAGAATGAAACTAGACCATTATCTTACACTGTACACAAAAATCAACTCAAAACGGGTTAGACTTAAATATAAGACCACAGTACTCCTAGAAGAAAACATAAGACAATATGCTCTTTGACACAGGTCTCAGAAATATCTTTCTGGTATGTCTCCTAAAGCAAACGAAAAATAAGCAAAAATACACAAATGGGACTACATCAAACTAAAAAGATTTTGCACAGGGAAGGAAACCACCAACAGACAACTTACTGAAAGGGAGAAGATATTTGCAAATG